TAGTGTATATATATACATATATGACAGTGTGTGTGTATATATACTTATATGACAGTGTGTGTGTATACAGTATACATATATGACAGTGTGTGTATATATATACTTATATGACAGTGTGTGTGTATATACATGTATGACAGTGTGTGTGTATATATACTGTATACATATATGAGTGTGTGTGTATATATACATATATGACAGTTTGTGTGTATATACATATATGACAGTTTGTGTGTATATACATATATGACAGTGTGTGTGTATATATACATATGCTCTGTGTATGTATTACTATATATTTGGAATTACGTATTTTTTATTTACTTTTTTCTTTTTGACAATTACGCCTCTTATCATCCATAACCATCACATATAAATACAATCCTGTCTGTTTTTTTCCATCTTTGCTATTTTTTTCTTTTTCATTTCTTTCTCCCTTTCTTTTCTTTCTTTTCCTCACCCCTCTACGACTCCTCACATTAAACATTGACTTCCCCCCAGTCCCGCCACTTCCACTAGCCCCTAGTTTGGGGGAGAGGTCCTTTTCCCCCCTGCCTCTGGGTGAGGCAGGTCACCTGGTGCACCAGGGGTGGGTCACTGAGCTACCGGGGGTGGAGGCCCTCCAGGGGCCATTCTCCAGGGGCCATTCTCCCGGGGCCGCCCTCCAGAAGTATCGCTTTCACTTTCCCGAACAGACAAAGGGACACACACACACACAGTGACACAGACACACAGACACACACAGTGACACAGACACACACACACAGTGACACACACACACACACACACAGTGACACACACACACAGACACACACACACACGTCCCTCGTTAAGGGTAAAGTACAGTACACACCCTCACAGTCCTCACATATATACTGCATAATAACACCTAGTGCTTCTGTCACTGCAGTTTTTTCTGTTGATTTTTTTTCTTTCTCTCTCCTTCTTCCTTCTGGCTGTTTTTCTGTTACTTTTCAGATTAATGCCTTAGTGTTAACTTGTTGTGTGTTTCCTCACCTTAAATAAACAAGCAAACAAATAAATAAAGGTCACAAGTGGTGCAGAGACAATAAATTAACAGGATGATGTGATTTTGTAACCATATTTCACAGTAACAGTCTCTGCCATGTTGTGAAAAGTTGAATCAACATGACATATTTTATAAAGAGATAAAGGACGTCTTTGGGTCCTTGAGCAAGGCCCTTAACCCCCAGCTCCCTGGGTGCCGCTACAGGAGGCTGCCCTTCGCGGACAACTAACTCCACAAAGAGCAAGTTGAGGGAGGCGTAAAAGACAATTTCTATTAATAAAGTATCAATTATTATTTTTTTTTAATAATTATTATTATTATTATTGCTTACATTGACTTTATTTGATGTAGGAGCCCGTTAAAAAGGGGGTGTTTCATTTTCTGTCTCTCTGCTGTTCCCGCATGCTTTACGTATATATATGCCATCAGAAGAAAGGTCCGCTTTAGCAGTTTTCTCTCCTTGCCCTTACAACTAGCAAATAAATGTAAGTAAATCTTCAGTTATAATGGTGTCTATTTTGGTCATTATATTAAAAGGTTTCCACTACATGCCATTCTGATTCTGCCATTAAGTGTTAAGATGTTTCCAGAACATCCTCTGTGGGACCGGAAATCACATGATCTCCACTGCGTGTTATTTTAAGTGTTTGCTCCGGTTGTCTGTTTCCAGTTTTTTGATCAACATTATTCCCTAAACATCCTGTATCTTAAATATTATCTTATATTTCTATCAGCATAAACTGCTCCAGTCGAGCGACGTGGTATTTTAGTCACTTATAGCTTTGGTTAATTCTGAACAGATACATGAAATTTGGTGTATTTTGCATTTGTTGAAGCCATATTAATTTCACTCCAGATCAGTGGGATCAGATATAAAATGGAAAAAGTTAATAACATTTAAAATGAACCTGATGTCGTTAAAATAAAAATGAATGGTGTCACTACAGGAATGTGCTTTTATACAGTCATGGTTACAGACTCTCCAGCTCACTACACTCGTATTTTGAATGTATCTCATTTGCCAAAAGAAGAGAGAAGACACAAAATAAACAAATTTAAAAATGAATCTGACTGGTTTCTGCATCATTATAATTGTTTTGTTCAAAGTTTTTACAGATATCACAATAATGTCATTACTTCTTTTGACCACAATAATTGTGTGGTGAAAATCTGATATCTTGACAACCCTAAATTACAGTTTACAACATTAAATACCCAGTAGTACTGACCTCAGTATCTCCAATATACAATGTGGAATACCCAGTAATACTGGCCTTAGTATTCCCAGTTTACAATGTGGAATACCAAGTAATAGTGACTTCAGTATCTCCAGTTTACAGTGCGGAATACCAAATACTACTGACTTAAGTATCTCCACTTGACAGTGTGGAATACCCAGTAATACTGACCTCAGTATCTCCAGTTTACAGTGCGGAATACCCAGTAATACTGACCTCAGTATCTCCACTTTACAGTGTGAATCCCCCAGCCAGGCAGAGAGCAGCTTCACTCCTGAATCCTGCAGGTCATTGTCACTCAGGTCCAGCTCTCTCAGATGTGAGGAGTTTGATCTGAGAGCTGAAGCCAGCACCTCACAGCATTTATCTGTGAGATTACAGCTGTCCAACCTGGAAAACCATTTTAAGACACAACTAACACATAGTTAATGGTACTCTGTATTATTAACGATGCATGTGAAAATTATATATGAATCTTCCCGTAATATATTCAGACCAATGAAACAGCTTCCACTGCAGTCATCAGCCATCGTTCTGCCAGGTTTCCCCAAAGTAGGGCTGGATATCGAACTTCGGTACTTTTATCGTACCGACCAAAATGCTCTGATCCTACCCCAGTTAAAGACCCCCTTTGTTTGTATAGCAGGTCAGGATGCACACTGCATGGTCATGGAAATGTCACATTGTGTTTTACTACATCACTACCCTCAGTCATTATAAAATCTGGGTTCCAGATAATCAAAAGACAATCCAGCCCAGGTATTAATCCATGAGGAGAAATAAAATGCATATTTAACATATTTTAAACAATGTTAATCTGTTACTGTCAGACAAGATACATTTTCACATCATCACTTACAGAGCTGTGCTAGATGTCTGGATCACAGGCAGCAGCCTCCAATGCTCCTTATCTGACCTGATGAATTTCTTCAGATCAAACACATCCAGCTCCTCATCTGACATCAGTAACACAAAGGCCAGAGCTGAATACTGTGCAGGTGAGAGGTCTTCTGCTGAAAGACTTCCTGAATTCAGGTATCTTTGTGCTTCCTCTACTAGAGAATTGTCACCCAGCTCATTCAGACAGTGGAACAGGTTGATGGTCCTTTCTGGAGATAAATTGTCCTTTATTTTCTTCTTGATGTATTGGGCTGTTTCTATAATGTCATGTGAGCTGGTTCCTGTCTCTCCCAGTAGCCTTTGTAACAGAGTCTTCCTGGAGTCTGTTGAGAGGCCCAGGAGGAAGCGGAGGTAGAGGTCCAAGTGTCCATTTTTGCTCTCTAATGCCTGATCCACTGCAGTCTCCAGTAGGTCAGCTGATGAGTTTGACAGAAACACATATAAAGCAGCGAGATACTCCTGGATGCTCAGATGCACAAAGCAGTACACCTTCTCCTGATACAGCCCATATTCCTCCTTAAAGACTTCTGTACACACTCCAGAGTAAACTGAAGCTTCACTGACATCAATGTCATTCTCTGCCAGATCTTGCTCATAAAATATGAGATTGCCTTTCTCAAGGTTGTCAAAAGCCAGTTTACCCAGTTTTAAAAGGAATTTCTTGCTGTGTTCCTTAAGCTTGGATTCACTGTTTTTCATGTACTTGCCATTTTTTAAACCTGTCTGAAAGATCAGGAAGTGTGTGTACATTTCAGTCAGAGTCCTTGGACTTTCTCCCCTGTCAGTTTCACTAAAAAGCTGCTCAAGAACAGTGGCTGAAATCCAGCAGAACACAGGTATGTGGCACATGATGAAGAGGCTCCTTGATGATTTCACATGTGTGATAATCCTGCTGGCCAGACTCTGATCACTGAATCTCCTCCTGAAATACTCCTCCTTCTGGGCATCACCAAACCCTCGTATCTCTGTCACCTGGTGGATGCACTCCGGAGGTATCTGATTGGCTGCTGCTGGTCGGGAGGTTATCCAGAGGAGAGCGGATCGGACCAGATTCCCCTTAATGAAGTTAGTCAACAGCACATCCAGTGACGTTTTCTTTGTTACATCAAACCAGCTCTCATTGTTCTGAAAATTTAGAGGAAGGCGACATTCATCCAGACCATCAAAGATGAACAAGACTTTGTATCTAAATAGCTCAGTGGATTCCACTGGTTTCAGATCAGGGACAAAGTGGTGAAGCAGTTCAATCAGACTGTATTCATCCTTAATCAAATTCAGGTCCCGGAAAGGAAGAGCAAATATGAAGTGAACATCTTGGTTTGCTTTTCCTTCTGCCCAGTCAAGGATAAATTTCTGCACAGAGACTGTTTTCCCGATACCTGCCACTCCTTTAGTGAGTACAGTTCTGATAGGTGTCTCACGCCCATATAAGGGTTTAAATATATCATTGCATTTGACTGTAGTATCTTCTGTTCGCCTTTTCTTGGATGCTGTTTCAATCTGTCTCACTTCATGTTCATCATTGACTGCTCCAGTTCCCCCTTCAGTTATGTAGAGTTCTGTGTAAATCTCATTGAGAAGTGTTGGCTGTCCTTCCTTAGCTTTCCCTTCAAATACACACTCAAATTTCTTCTTCAGGTTACATTTGATTCTGTGCTGACATTGTGACAGAAGATGCCCTGAAATGAAATGAGAGGTAAATGCACAGACTTTTCAAAAACACAATTTGTTTACTCACACAAGCAAACCTCAATCAAATTAAATTAAATGATAAACTGAAATGTAATACATGTTTTTCCCATATACTATTTTTCTGAGGCCAAACAAACACAGAGAGAATGAGGTTCAGCTCTTACTCTTCTCCAGCATGTCAGCGAGATCATTTCGCTCCATGGCCCTCAGGATGTACAGTGTGATCTTCAGAGCTCCTTCTCTACCACAGGTCTTCTGCATCTGACCATCACTGTCCAGGTCATTGTCCTCCTCCAGCTGAGACTCAGAGCATTCTGGGTAATTCTGATCTAGGTACCTCGTGATCTTCTTCAGCTCGTCCTTCAGGAACCTCACAGCATTTTCCTCTAGTGACTAAAATACACCATCACAGTTAATTATTGCTAATTGAACATTGAATGCCCGAGCCACCTCATCTGGCTCCTCTCAATGCGGAGGAGCAGCGGCTCTACTCTGAGTCTCTCCCGAATGACCGAGCTCCTCACCCTATCTCTAAGGGAGAGCCCAGCCACCCTGCGGAGAAAACTCATTTTGGTCATTACACTCGCGATCTCGTTCTTTCGGTCACTACCCACAGCTCGTGACCATAGGTGAGGGTAGGAATGTAGATCGACTGGTAAATCGAGAGCTTCG